TTTCCCACCACAACCACCTACTAGACCACCTCAGCCACCACATCCACGACCAACGCAACCTAATACTTACCTGCCACCCGACCGTACCACCAGACCTACTTACCCTACAACAAGGCCTTCATATGGAACTACAAGACCTACTTTCCCCACGTCTAGACCCACAACATCATATCATACAACTACAAAGACAACATATGTAACTACTGGCAGGCCAACGCCATCGTATGGTACTACTCCAAGGCCATCTTATGGTACTACTCCATCTTATGGTACCACTCCAAGGCCATCTTATGGCACTACTCCATCTTATGGCACCACACCAAGGCCATCTTACGGCACGACTCCGTCTTACGGAACTACACCAAGGCCATCTTATGGCACGACTCCATCTTACGGTACCACACCAAGGCCATCCTATGGCACTACTCCGTCTTATGGTACCACACCAAGGCCATCCTATGGCACTACTCCGTCTTATGGTACCACTCCGAGGCCATCCTATGGCACCACTTCGTCATACTTTACCCGCCCTCACGTTCCTACAGAACCAGCTAGTTACCTGCCACCACACAGCGAGAAACCGAGCACTCGCCCAGAACCTTACCTTCCACCTTCGACTCCGTCCACTCCGCGAGTCACCGTGACACCGCCACCACCACCCACGCCTATTTATACCCTCACGTACACAACAACCGAGTACACCCCCCCGCCGACCGGCCGACCAGGGCCAATACCGACTCTTCCGCCTACCACGAAGAGACCGATCGGTTATTTCTACCCAGTACCGGAAAATCCACTCGAACTGCCGCCATTCGTCCGATGAAGGGCACGAAAACGGTTTCAATGAACTGACAGTCGCGAACTATAATATCTCTTTTGTAATTTTTATATATATAAATATAAATATGTGTAAAATAGGTTATTTATGAATCACGGGTAGGAGACAGAGACAGCGCGACGCGATGGAAAATGTTAATGAAGTGGAAAATAAGGCGTGAATTATTTTGTCAATTACTTGTATCAAGTGCGCGTGTCTGAAACGTTCGGTAAACATTGTAGTAACTGTATTGATTGTAAAAAGCAAATAAATATTTTGCAGAAACTTATACCGTTAATTGTTTTTCATGAAAAATGAAACGCCTAATGGTATATTGTTCGAGAAAATCTATCTCGTGCAGGATGTTCGAATTTGGTGTGTATGTAATAAATTAACAGTGATAAGAGAATAAAGTTTGTACAAAATGTACGTAGCGTGTCGTTACACCCGGTGAAAGATGGAAAAAGTTAGAAAGGGAAAGATGGTTAATATCTTATTAAATAGCACCGTGGCAGATTTCTATTTCGCACCAGTTTCAACAATGCCACTTATTATTATTCGATAATAACGTTCGCCGGAGAAAGTCTTTCGCTAAACTCGCGTCGCACGTGGAACCGTATGCTCAATTTCAGTTTGCACTTTTGATCTTTTCCACTCGATGCCCGGACGAAAGATCCACCCGAAACGCGGATGATCCCGATGAATTATACACCTGATTTGCCAGAGGGTCTCAAGAGTCACCTTTTCCGCCTACGGTACACTCTTCACTCATGAATATTAATGATTATGAAACATGGTTTTGCATAAAATAGCGGTCCGAAATAACACGTGTCCTTCGGATATATCGCGTGTATCGTGAATACACTTTCACAATCAAGCCAAGTATCTTTTAGAGACATAATTGGTCTATTCTTAATTTAATGTATGTGTCTTATTGAACTATGTCAAAATGTATTATCCTTAAGAAGAATTATCTCACAAATATCATAAATTATATAACAATAAAATACTATTGTTTGAATATTTAGAAAATAAAAACAGTTGGCATTTATTTTGAAAAAGTATTTAGAAGTGACGAATGAAACGTAGATGAAGGATTGATTTCTACTCAGAGTGATTCTTGATACAATGACATTGACATTCACTTTAAACATCGTGCAACTATATTCGACTCGATCCTCATGGCGTAGCAAGTAGCCCATAACCTGGCTCCTACTAGCATAACGAGCCTCCCCCACGTATAAAGAAATTTTCTAGGTTCGCGATAGAATCTCCAGTGAAAACTCTGTAGCGCGAAATGGGAGCTCGTTAGTTGCATATGGAGCTTCGAAAGAACATCGTCTCGTGGTTTTGCGAAACAGGAGTGGTAAAACGATTTCTTCGTTAGTATCGGAATCGATCACTAACTGATAGTTACTGCTTCTCGATTGACGATGAACATGTCCGGATAATCGCGTCTGATTTAACGGATTTCGCGCGTAATGTTCGGTAACGTTGTATGTTAATAAATTCAATAAATTTCCATCAGTTACTAAGATAATCAATAGTGAAAATTAGAAAGTATTCTGGTACCGTTTGAATCCCATTTCTAAAGAAGTTTGAGTCTTTCTGTTTCGATAAACAGCTGTTTGAGTGCACGGTTCATTGATACATAGTACGTTCGACACTGCCAATGAATGGTTACGGAGGAGAGAAGCGAAGAGATTCCGCAAAAGGACATGCTTGAAACAGAACGAAGAACTGCGATTAGTATATCACAGCTTGGACTTTATTCTGATCACAGTGATCGGGAAACTAGAAATCGTCACAGTATTATTACGAGGAAATTCGCGATTGGAGTTATGGTGGTGGTTGCAGTGATACTAGTGAGTATATGTACTGACATTAAATACGCTTAACTGAATGCGTCAGAGCAATGTTGGCTCATATTAGTTACACCGCTATTTTATACCGCCGTTTTTTGAGATATATATCGCAGTGAATGTTCTCCTTAAAATTTGAAAAGAAAGACGTTTACAAACAATTTTATACATAAGTTCAATCTTTACAATGTTTCTATCTATGAAGGAATATTTCAATTTTTATATCCAGAACAGCTTTATAAATGTCTATACGTATTTTTCGAGGTGTCATTTTAAAGTATTAAACTGATAGCACCAACTATTTGTTATTTCATTATTTACATGCTGTTTATTAATGTATCGGGTTAATTGTTCTACCGAGAATCAATTTATACAATTATATCGTCGTGCTGCACAATAGAATTTAATCTTGGAAATCATAGGCCCCTGCGCCTTCCTGTTATTAGATCAATTCAGTTCAACGACTTCCTCGGCGTGATAGACAATCATTATCCATAGTTCGTTAACAGCTCACTGTATTCAAACCGTGCCTAAACGTCCTCCGTGTTCCTATATTTGCACGATTTAATGTGCACTCATGAGGGGTCGATAAATTTTTAATACCACGCGATGACGTGAATAGAAATTCCGCATGTAATTAAGGATATCTGGAATCGTTGCCCGGTTTATTCAATCGGGTAGTATGCGGCAAAAGTTTTTAATTGCTCGAAAGTTGATCCAGAAGATTATATCACTGAATTTAACAAGCGTTTATCAAATGCAAACAAATCTACATTAAGGAAAATATTGTTCGTAAAATGAATATTCATAAGCTTTTCCGGTCTACTTTCTAAGTATTATTACAACGTATCATGTAAAATATAATGAAAATAATGAATCTGATAACGGTGACAGTTTTGTTAAAAGCAAAGCTTTCGTCCTTTTATGTTTTAACGAGGCGCCATCTCCTAGAACAATAGGCGCAATTACATCTTGCCGAGTTTTCTCCCATGATTAATGTAACAGGCACAGTGGCGATGTTAAAAATCACAATTTCACCGTGAATCTCCGCATAACCCTTCCATGCATGGCGAACCAAGCGTCAAAGGAGATTTCTGCGCGTTTCACATATAGAGCGTTAACTGTGTTTTGGCACAAATTAAATGTTGCTGATGCTGATTGATGCCATTGCCATTGCCATTGCCATTGCCACTGCCATTGCCGTTGCCATTGCGATTGCGATTGCCATTGCCACTGCCATTGCCATTGCCATTGACACTGCTATTGCTACTGCTATTGCTACTGCTATTGCTGTTGCTATTACTATTGCTATTGCTATTGTTATTATCATTGCCATTGCCATTGTCGCTGCTGCTGTTCATAATAGTGTTGTCATTTATATTACTGTTTTAAGTTATTACTCCCTCATACCTTTACATCTATTATTTAAAAATGCCTAAAACATTGTGCTTTCTATGCCTTCATAACTATTTAATAACATATTTCTTACAAGATCACAATTATTTATTGTAGGTTGGAATATTTTTATACGATTTCACATCCGCCACAGCTGTAAACAGTAAAGTTAACCAGGAATCGAAGCACATGTACATATTGCAAAATGCTCTAAAAAAACCGACGAACGTCACGAGGAAGTTCTCCAATTCAACTCATTTGCCAAAATTGGATCATTCGACAACCAATCCTGTTTACATTCAGGATCGGTCTGACAATGGAAATTCAGGGAACTTTCTTCCCTACTACGATGCAGACAATCATAAAACGTCCGACCCTGAGTTAAGGTCGCAAAATATGCACAACTTTAAATTACGGAAAAGAGTGCTGAAGTCTGTTGAAGGCAGCGCCGATGAGTCATCAGTGGAGAGCAAACAGTTGTTTGACAATCACGCTGCTGTATACCGCGTGAGACAAAGGTAAGATAATGATCGCATCTATTACACGATTCCTGAACCAATAAAATCATTATTAATTTTTTCCATTTCGCAACGTTCACATATTTACACGCTGTTAATGTGAAACGAAAGAAATTATGCATACGGCATTTCAGCTTAACATACATGAAAGTTGTTTTGATCATCCGTATAATGATCGATTATTATTACAGAATTTGGAAAGGAAAAATTTAACGCGTCGTTTGTTAACATAATCTTACATAATGCTCGCTAAGAACGGTTCGGGCATCGTTCGTTCATTCATAAATCAAATTCAGCCTTATTTATTTAGAATTAATGAAGTTTCTCTTTGGCTTGTACACCGCATGCTTATTTTTATGGAAGATAGTCTACACGCATTATTGTTGATTCGTTGCACAGCTAATTGCATAATACATATATGAAAAAGGGGAAAGATAATCGAATATATAGGGGTGCACGATACATTAACACAACTGTTGATTTTTTGTTTATTCGCAAAAGATCCTTCCTGTTATTCTGGATCGTCGCATACAAATATTAATATCTACGGATGTATTTTTCATTTTTCCAACGGTTCATAAAATCTGTAATTTATTATTGGTAAGGACTAATTACAAATTTCAGAAATTGATCAACATTTACGTACAGACACAGGTATCCAGGTGCAGTGGATGAAGATGAAAGCTCGGAAGAAAGTCGTCCAACCCCATTTCACTGGGAGTTGAAGTCACACCAGCCAACCGCGTTCAAGAGACTGAAATATCCTCAATTGACTCAATATAGATATCCACATGCATCCAGAAACATTCAGGATATCATAAAGTACCTGACCAACGAAGCTGAACTGCCGAACAGAGGCATCAAGTTCACAGGAGTCTACGTGAATCCAAAGAAATATGACATGCAATCCGACATCGGGGACGTTATGTCCAACAGCGATCGATCGGAAGAAGAGGAGCCTTATTCTAACGAAGATCCATTTTATCAATACAAACCAAAACATCCGGGTGATGTCAATTTGTTGGCAACGTCTAACGTTAGGTAAACGAATCCCGAAACTCCTTCAATTGTTAAAAGCAGCAGCCATTTTACATTCTACTCTTCAATGAATTATTCTAAATACAAATAATGTTATATAGAATGGCAAAATTTTAATTCGTTGTATCTTATAATTATACTGAGAATCAGAAAATTGTTCTAAAAATAAGAAACTAAATAGACGAATTTTACAGTTTGAAATATATCTATTATAATTATATATATATATGTATTTATTTATTTATTTATAATATATCTATTATAATTATATATATGTATTTATTTATTTATTTATTTATATATTTCAAACTGTAAAATTCGTCACTTCAGTTTCTTATTTTTAGAACAATTTTCTGATTTTCAATCATAATGTACATATTATTGATTAAAAGTTGATCAACATTTCCAGATTCTCTCCAACGGGTTTGCAGAGATACAATCCTTACTATGACGCTTACGGCCGACCCGCCTCTTATCCGACATCAGCCGTAGACTCGCAATACGAAAACGTGGCTCCTTATTCCGGCAACCTTGGAAAGCGACGGAAGCCGAAGCCGTTCAGCGTGATGCTAGACATTTATCCCATCACGGACATCGTAGAGCAGAATAAAAAAAACACCAGACCGAAACAAGTACCTTTGGAAGATTACGACATCAGAAGACCGCTTCAATATAACCGAGGGCCAAAGTTCTATGCGCCTGTCCCGCAGCAGGTGGTGGCGGTACCTAATCAGCCAATGACAGACGAAGAGGAAAGACAACAGATGATTTTTCATTTAAATTTGTACCCTAAACGAAAGAATAAAATCACTAGGTACGTATAAACAACGAATGTACATCTAATAACGCGAATGATGGTTCCTTTAAGAAACTTGCTGCATCTGCTTGTTCGAAATACAAGTGAAGAAAAAGTAAAAAAAATATATTGGAGACAAATTGTTAGATGCAATTTAGATTAGCCGTCTCTGGACAATTAAGTTGGTGTTACCACCTTGTTAAATTTATTACTATTTATCAGGCTTCGTAACTTACCGTGCAATATATGAGAAAGATATGCAAATATCGCGAGGGAATATCCATATCCTTTCAATCGCGAGATTGTGCCGAAACGTTAAAAATTATGTAAACCCACTGCCCACGTTGCTCGCATATCTGCATAGGTCATTGCCTCCGTTAGCATCGATTACGTAATCACGAGCGGCGCGCCGGGGCCTTTGCATTTATTCCCGATCCACAAACCGCGGTTTTCTCGTAGCGTATCGGCCTGTAAATCGTGGAATCGCTTACAATGCGCTCGTGGCGTCGCCTGATGCCTAGATTTATCTGCAAAATCACCAGGAAGATCGACGAAGCCTTAGACTTTCACCGAACGACTCCTCGAGTGTGCACGAACCGCCGTAGGTTCGATAAAAAAAAAAGGAGAAGGAAAATACGAGACAAAATCGAACGAAACCGTTCGATCGTGGCGCTACAGGCTCGTTAAGGACGACCACGTGAAATGTCACTGACTAAATTCGTACGAGCGCGAGGCTGTCTTGGAAAAAAGCTGATCGTAAATTCTTAACCATGAACGGGTTGCTTCATAAAACGTGAAACGATCCGCTTCATTCACGTCGGCAAACGTTTGTTAATAGGTTGTACCGGAATTACATGTAAGTCGTAAAAAACACAAAGATTACGTAGAAGCAGGCTGAATCTCGAGGATAATAAAATTCCACGTGGAGAATTATTTTCACTTTGTAATAACATCGAATGAAATGCGTTGGTGTTACTTCATTTATCTTTTGCCGAATATATGTATGCTGTTTTTCAATACTACTCGATTAAAAAATTAAAGTCACTGTTCACCGAACAAGAGAATAAATACTTTTTAATCCCAATTCATATTCAACGCATGAAACAATTATGCAGAAGTATACTAAAAAAAGGGGCCGTTTTTAAAAATTATATCTGTTTTAATTTTTATGATGAATAGATTCATATATTTATGCAACTTTCATTTCCAGGCACGACATCATTCATCGATCGCAGTCGATGGGACCGGAAGATCGTCAGCAGTTTGTAAATAAAGTCTGGTCGCCTTTGGAAACTATTGCCAAGCATCTGGCAGTGGAACGTTCGAAATACGACAGCCCGATCAGCTTAGCTTCGTCGCGTTATCAAGAAACTGTTCTGGAAAATAAAGACGATGGTAAGTATGAAAAGAGAAAGAACCCGCCGGGAACCAATACTGACAACCCGGAGGAAACCGTAACGTTACCTTCGAATCATAAATCAAGCATTGAGGAGGATTACGCCAGCACAGAAAAATATGAATACGAAGCGTTGAAGATTGTTGGAACCACTACAGAAAGTGAAAAAGAAGATTCCACTACTTTGATGCCGATAGAAACAACAACTACTAATGAAACTAATAGCATCGATATTGCAAAAGACGTCGACACCATTGAAGGATTCAAACGATTCGTTGACACTGTATCTAAGACTAAATGAATTGTAATTTAATCGTTTTCCATTTATTGAGTAGATGATCATAAATAAAACTATGATTTAAATTACAATTAAATTACAATTATAAGAATAACTCGAATGCAATTAAAGTCGTAATTATATTTATGATCACATATTTCCAGAATTGAAAGTGATTTTTTCAGAAAAAGATTAACGAGCGATGAGATCATGGAATTAATAAAACTATCAATAAAACTCGGTCAGACGTATCGAAGACAGTATTTCTGTTTTCTTTTATAATTAATGATAAATATTCGTCTCTGTAGAAATTGTCTAGACTCAACAATCTCCTGAATCCTCTTCTATTTCCCAGTCTACCGCTCCACGAGATCAAATTATCTCCGGAGCTCCACCTCGCCTTGACATTTTCGTCGAGGGCGTTTCAGAATCTCCCAAGATCTCGGCTCGTGCAATCGTAAGATATTCGACGATCGAGCGATTGCTTAATAGGCCACGAGACCGTGGACAAAATCGGCACTCGCTGACCCATATACCGTGTAATAGAAATATTTTCAGTGGAAAAAAATAAATGATTGAATGGGAGGTGTTTACGGTCATACTTCAAAGGTCTTCTGACTTTTGATCTGCTTTAACTTCGCGAAAGCTTGTCAGATGGATAAACTAATAATATCCTACTATTAGATATTATTAAATAATTGTTGTTAACTAAAAAAATATTATTACCAGTTACTGAAACGTTTAAATTTATACAAATTCTACTAGAATAAAAGGTAATTGGGATTCATCTTTTCCGAGGTTTAATAAATTAGAAGTATATCAAAACTTCTATTAGTGATTGACGACAATGATTACACTAGAATTAAGGATTACAACGGGTAGAAAAAACGTCCATTCTCTTACAAAGAAATGTACAGATTTATTTCGCTCTTAAATACTATATATATGTATATACATTACAATAAAACGCGCGCATTTTAATAATAATTATCGCGATCGTGATGAGTAAAATTCGCGTACGACCAAGAAATATACAAATTCACGCGAATTGGGTCCGCTTAAGCTAAGAAATGCCGTCACATGTTACACGTGTCGCCGTATTTTGGCACGAACTTTTCAATCTTATATTATAGCACCATTCGTCGACTTCGCGGTCTCGTGGCTTCCTTGCACGAAACTACGGAATCCTCGTCTCAAACACCTACATATAATACAATTCACTGACGACGTTTCTACGATCTCTCCCGTCTTCGCTGACTCAAAAGCACAATTAATAGCTTAATTCAAACGTCACATTACGAATCTCCCTTTCACCTAACAATAAATCTCACCGGTTTCAATGGCATTGTACGACGTGTCACACATCAAATTTCTGCAAAGAAACTTTCAAAATGTTACTGTCAATATCAAACATGATTAAAACCTTAATAGTTTACGCTATATCGTTAGTTGGACAATCCCGAAAGAATTATTGCGTTAAATTATCGTTGTACTTTCTTTTTGATTTCTGCTACCTTTGCTTCTCCGAGAAGCACTCCCAGAGGGCTAATTCTCTATTGTGACCGGTTCGTGAGATCAAAGAGTCTCAATATTTCGTCAATAATATTCAACTAATGCACCGTTTGTAAAAATCTCATTTCTGAACGATCTGTTCTTCAAGAATAATTAATTACTCCATACGAAGCAACGAAATACAGTCGAAATCACGGAAAATATTTTCACAGTTCTCTAAATTATCCAAACTGAGGTAAGCTTCTTGTTCTATGTTCTCGATCCGAGTGTGCTAGGGTGGTATAGCGTCGTGTCTGCACCCCATTCGTAAGGACTTTCGTGAGGTCCCAAAGAAACCATTGTTCCCGGCCCAAGTGTGGTGTGGGACGTAGCGCTGACCATTCCTGGACCGGAAGATACGTAGCTCAATGGCGGCCGTGGCTGTTCACGTAAACGTGCGTGTTTCACTTGACGTTTGTATCTGTTAGCAATAAAAAAAATTGTATTTAATATTCAAAACTTAATGACGCATGATCAAAACTATTACAACGATCTAGCAGTAATACTATTCAAGCATACTCATTTCACAAGCTTACAGTAGGATGCGATTATAAATTAATATTGGAAATTTCATCATGAAATCTTTTTATAAAATAAAACTCCTGCTCAATGGATTTATCACCGACATCATGGCAACGCCTTTACAATAAAATTATTGGAATACACTCACTTGGCATGCATGCAGCAAAGAGCACAGCTCGAAATGATGGTAGCAACGCCAACGAAAACAGCGATCGCCAGCACCCACATCTGCGTCATGGAGGCGTCAGCACGAGCCACCAAGGCAGCGCAGTGTTGCACCTTCTCCACATGATAAGCCCTGTAAACCTTCTTTAGCTCCTCGTTCCTTGGATCCGTGAGAAGCGCTTTCATCTCGTCCAAATCGTACGCTTCCTTCCCTACCATCTGGAAGCAGGAGCTAGTGGAAGAAAAGTCCAACGAATTGTCCTCCTTCGAATAAAATTGAGTATCGTAAACGTTGACGCTAATTGGTAGCGACAGGGCCTGTTGAACAGCTTTCTCGAAGTCCTCCAGTGTCTTCCTCACCTCTACAGGTGGTTTAGAGAAGACAAACTTCAACATATCCCTGTCACGAAGTAAAAAGATCCTCAAGGTACTATTCGTTTCTCTACCGAGTGTTACAGAATTGTTAGCAGTGACTATAATCTCCATGTAACCGTCAGCATAATTCGACATCGAGCCTGTTGTCCTCAACTCCCCTGTTTGAGGGTTCAAAGACAACTGCGAAGGAATCTCTCGCTTAGACATAGAAGGATCAACGAGAGAAGTAAAGGAGGCTTTCCCCATACTGTACTTAATTGGCAGAGCATCGGAGTCTGCATCGAAAGCTTCTAACGTGATCAGACTAGTATCAATTGGAACATTTAATCGGACACCCAAAGTGACGTTCTCCTTCTTGAACGAGGGTTTGTTGTCGTCTATGTCGAGGATTCTGATCAGAACCTGCCTCTCCGAGGGATCCTGCCGATTGTAAGGTTTGGGGATAATGTCAGACCTCTTTGTCGAATACGGGAAGCATTTAATTGTCAACAAATGACGGTCCACTGACTCTCGATCTAGTCGACCATTAGACTTGATCACTGCTGAGTTATTCTTAAGACGTTCCACGACGAAGAGGCTAGCTTCGTTCCCATATACGATCGCGTAATCGATCTTTCCATTTTCACCGATGTCTTCATCGATCGCTTCGATCAGACCGACTTTCGTTCCCACCGGTTTTTCTTCGAGGATTGTCAGTTCTATTGGAGGACTGTCTAAGTTTCTCTTGAAGTGAGGCTTGTGGTCATCTATATCGTTTACTATAACTTGTAATACTCTGGTTGCTTGTTGAGGTGGATTGCCTAGGTCCTGAGCTACCAATATCAAAGTGTAACTGTCCTTCATCTCTCGGTCGAGTAGCTTCCTTGTGGTGATCAGACCAGTTTCGCTGTTTATTCTGAACGCACTCGCGTCTTTGCCGAAGTTACCGTCTTCTAAAAACTTGAACGTGATTTTACCATTTGGTAGATTTGGATCGTCCGGATCCGAAGCTACCACTTGGAACACTGGACTGCCAATCGTTGAATTCTCGGCTATGTGAGCTACTTCTTCCAAGGTTGGTCTGATGAATAAAGGAACACCGTCGTTGCTAACTACGTCTCCGATGTATAAGGTTAAAATTACGTCAGTGTACAACTCCGGTACGCCGCTATCTTGAGCTCTAATTCGCATGATGTACGGCTCTGTTCTTCCTTTCCCAGTTAGAGCTTTTGCAGAATAAATTTCTCCTGACGTTTGGTTTATTTTGAATAAGCCTGGAATAGATGAATAATTAGTACCCGTTCTCTAAAGAATTTATGTTCAAGATGAAGTAAAATACGTCTGAATTTTGGACTAAGAATAGCTAAAACCTTATATTTAGTGGCCACCGTTTCACGCAAAAATTTGTGAACAGTAGAGCTGTATAACTTAAAGATTATTATATTATCACATTTGAAATTAACAGAAGAATAAAATATTAATTTAGACGAATCTTATATCCTCACCGTTTGCTTCGCCTTCGTCAATGATTTCGAAATTAACTACTCCTCCATTGCCTTCATCAGGGTCGGTCGCAGTGATATTGACGACACTAACACGTGGCGGAGCATTCTCTGGTATCACGGCTGTATAGGATTCTTGCTCAAAAGTTGGAGCATTGTCATTCACATCTAGAACATCGACTGTCACTAACGCTCTAGTGCTTCTTTGCTCTGCTCCTCCTTGAGGCATGTCTGAAGCGACCACATAGAATCGTAGCACCGACTGTTTTTCTCTGTCTAGCGTTGTATTCGCAGAAATCTACCGTAAAAAAGGTTACCAGTAAGAAGAAGTTTGAATCACAATTTATTTAAGTTCAACATAGATTATTCACCTGAATATTTCCGCTTATCGATTCCACTTCGAACATATTAGCGTTTTCACCGGTCAGAGAATATCTCACTTCGCCATATCCTCTTTTGACTTCCTGCTCAGTAGCCGAACTGTCCATATCTGTCGCTTTAACGTTCAATACGACATTCAAGGGTTTCGCAGATTCGAGTACTGAAATTTTGTAATCCTTTTGAGTGAAGATCGGATTGTTATCGTTGGTGTCTTGTACTTCAACTATTACATTCGCCTCGGACATTTTCCGCGTTATTTCATAATCCCTGGCTAGTGCTCGTACTTTAAATCGAATGAACTGAAAACAGGAGAATTATTATAATCGATTAAGTTCTTCAAAACAATCAGAATAATTCTTTATATTGTTGAAAACAGATAGTTCCAAATATTCATAGATGTTAGTTCAAATGGTAGAATTTTATGAATTAATCAGTTATAAAACATACCTTTTGATTAAGATTTTCGTAGTCTAGTCGCTTGCTCAATACAACGTTCCCACTCTGTACACCGACATTAACGTATCCTTCATCATCATCGTCCCTCACTAATTCAAACCTTTGAACTGAGTACCCAGTGGTAGGTTCTTTTGCCGACAACATTAAGAGAGTCGTTCCTAGAGGTTGTTCCTCTGGCACAGAAATCTTTATAGTCGGATTGTTCGGTGACCATCCAGGATTCAAGAAAGACGGATTGTCGTCGCTATAGGCTTGAATATAAACAGTCACTTCAACTTTTGTAATTTGTTTCTCTATATCAACGACAGCATTCAAATCCTGCACTTGGACTGTGAGAATTATGACAGCGGCCACTTGGTAATCTAAGACGCGATTCACTGTTATTAATCCAGTGGTTGAATTAATACGGAATGCGGATTTATAGTCGTAAGATGCAGTAGTTTTCAGTGCCACGCCTGTTTTGTCAACAGCTCTTATCGGTTCCACTAAAGAATACTCTAAATACGCATCTGAATCGGGATCAGTAGCTACTACCTTCAAGACTGGTTCACCTGTATAATTATTATAGAATATTAATACAAAAATTGCTTATAAATATTGTAAATTAATCTATTTCAGATAACTAGATAGAGAAAATGATTATTACAATATTCTATTATTAGATACAATTCAAAATGTTAAGGACAGTTAATAGCTTACCAATTCCTGCTCTTTCTGACACATAAACGAGATAAGTAGATTCATTGAACATCGGTGGCTTGTTATTCACATCAATCATATTTACAGTTACAGTAGTTGTTGCTGTCTCTCTGACAGGTGTGCCAGAGTCTATGGCATACACTATCACTTCATACTTTTCACCACCAGTTTCTAAATCTAGACGTGCATCTGGAGACACAGTAATGACACCAGAGCTAAAACCAAAGAAGTCCATTAATCGGTATAGTATCTTTATGAACTTAACATTCTCTGCAAAATTATAATCGTTCAATACATATAAAAGTCATTAAGTTAAAAGGAAAATTCTTCTTTACCTAGAATCTATGGCGAAATTGTCTTTAGCACCAGAAGCAATGTGATACTGTAATAAGTTGTCCCTTCCATCGGGATCGTTTGCTACTACCCTAATTACTTCCGTTCCTGGAGAAGCGTTCTCCAACAATCTTGCTCGATAAGTGTTAGGTCCCGGTAAATTCGATTTGTAATTTCCACGAAATATTGGTTTCTGATTTCCAGGTACTCCAACCCTAACGAGGAGTTTCGCTTCAGAGTACAATGGCGGAGTTCCTGCGTCTGTAGCTCGAATCACTAACTCGTAGATTCCTCTTTCTGTATCTCCCGATCGAACTGGCTTTGACATTGTCACCTCCCCGGAATCAGGATTTATCTGTAAAATCATTTTTCTACACTTTAACAGCATTTTACCTACAATCACTAATACAGCATCTGCGACTATAGTACTAATCTTTATGTAAGTATGAATTAAGAGTAAACATACAATATGAGTATCCATCCTTGATTCCAGAAGATTAATTTTTCGTGACATTAGTCGAGTTATATTAAATTCATCAATTTTAATGCACCTCGAGAATTTTACACAGTATGCTTTCAATCGATAACAAAGGTGATTCACAATATTCTTCTATTTACCTTGAAGACATCGTTCGTCATACTGTTATGCGAACTAATGGAGTACGTGACTTTCCCATTACCCTGAGTGGAGCCATCGACGTCTGTGGCTCTGACAAACATCTGCGGATCGAAACTAGTTGCATCTTCTCGCACTGTCCTCGAGAATTCAGTTTGCTCGAAGACCGGTTTATTATCATTGACATCCTCTAACTCTATTAGAATATTAACAGCGGAAACTCTACCGCCGCCATCTTTAGCTTCCATCGTCAAAGAGTACGATTTCTGTGTTTCGTAATCCAACATCGTGGCGACGGAAATTCCTCCAGTTTTTGGGTCTGTCTTGAACTTGTCAGCACCAAAGCCGCGTAATGTGTACGTCAATTCGCCGAAGGAACCGCTGTCATAGTCCTTAGCGAAAACATCGCCGAATTTGGTCCCTATTTCGGCATTCTCGGGAACGGAAAGTTTATATTCCGATTGAGAGAATTCTGGACTGTGATCATTGGCGTCTAGTAGATGTATGTGAACTTTAGTTGTAGCTACCTAAAATTTAATTAATAAAACATCAATTGTTAGTATTATTAAATATTGGTATTATAAACTGCTACAAGCTCTTTTATAGATAATAGACAAATTCGTTTTGCTAGTTTACCATTTTCGAAAGGGATTTTCCTTTACATAACTTTATATAGTTAATATTCATATAGTAAGTGATATAATTTAGAACTATTAAAATTGTTTAAAAGCTTTTACCACTTCATTTGCAACGAGTGCAACAACTTCGAACTGCAGCTGTCTTTTCGTTGGATCCTCCACATCGTAGTCCAACATTTCAACATCCTTAGCTTTGATCACGACTGGCACTCTACCCTGAGCTTCCTCTGGACTGACAGTAAAGGCAGCGCTCTTTCCGGGATATTCTGGTACATCCCTTAGAGATAGCGTATACTTTGCATTATCACCAACGTCGCCATCACTTACGATCATATTAAGACCTGAGAATAGTAAACAATACATCAACATAATAAATCGTGTTATATGAATGTGCTCTAAATTCAATACTATACTGTTACAAATATTATTATAAAGCAATATTAAATAAACCAATCAATAGCACCAGTCACTCACCTGGCAACGGTGTGTCCCTTCCAATATCTTCCGAAATCTGTATGTCAAAGTGCTTCTCATTAAACACTGGCACGAGGTCATCAACATCTGTGACGACAATGGTAACAATGGAGCTCGCTGTATCCGCCGGTATCTCATTATTGATAAGCTCCGTTGCCTTCACTTCGAACGTGTAAATCCCTCCGTTCTGCAGGATCTTGGAATCCTCTCTGTCCAAGGAAACATTGGTAGTAACAAGCTTGCCAACAGTCACGTCGCCCTCGCGCGAGACCTCGAGATCGAAGTGTCCTGCGTCATCCTCTTCCAACGTTAGCAACAAGGCTCTCGGTTCACCTGTGTCACCGTCCCGCGCTCTCACTGTCAGGATCGTGTGACTAGCCGGCGTGTTCTCCGGTAACGCTGCGCTGTACGGCGCGTTCAGGAACACGGGTGGCTGATCCTGAAAACGACATTTTCGTGTTTTTCCTTCAACTGGACGCACATACTGTATCATTCCTAGTCGACCGATTTTATAGAAAAGTTCGCAACGATTTGCAGTTATAATAAGATGTTACCGTACGTTTCCTTTGTTCCGAAGATTGAAAAATTCATCGAGCAACGCGCGATCAATTAGCAATACGGGGTGCCGTTAATTAACGGGGGATTTCATAGATTAACAAGGTTAACGCGTCTGAGGAAATAAAGAGATACGGGATACCGTTCCGGTGAAAGTAATACGGCACGGTCGAAGCTCGGAAACGGAGTCACCGGGTAACGTCGGCATTTTCTGGCCGGTTTTAGCATATGCCATCTTGTTAACCAATACCCGGACGCTGATCGAGATGGATGTACAGTTACGTCGGTTACGGTCGAGACCCACTTACCTGGACATCGAGAACGTCGACGGCCACGGTTGCTCTAGCCTGTAACACCTTAGTCACGTCGCTGGCACCATCCACCGCCAGAAGATTGATCAGGTATGAGTTTCGTCTCTCATAGTCGAGCGGCTTCGCCAGGGTGATCTGCACGTCGTATTTACCTTCTGCCAACTGAACCGAAGGGACTCCATACAGTAGGGACTCATTGAATTTCCATTATAAACAGCAACAACATTTTCATTCAGATAGAAATTGAAAATTATTTGGCAATGGAAGCTGCTAGCTGGTATACGTAAATTCTTTGAGACAATCGTTATCGATATAATATTATTTCTCAGTTGTATTGTCACTATTTTGATACTGAACCTAATTGATAAGTTTTTTTATAGATCATCTAAAAACTCGACACACTTTTGTTAGATTAACGGTGAAACGAAACTCTACTAAAGTCCGATGAATTTAGTATTCTATAATCTTCAGATGATTTTATTAATGTATAGAATTCTGCAGTTTCGGTGTAAGAATCGAGGAAAATTGCGAATACAGTGAAAACACCTTTTCCGTTGAAATATTGAAGACTTCGCAGACGTCATCGTCCCGTGACGTAGAGACACATTCCACGTGAACGTCCGCGTTTACGCCACCGTCGCGATCGGTGATCGTGATCGTACCAGGAGGGACTAACAGGCCACCCACGTGTGCACTTTCCGGCACCCTAGCCGCATAAGGTCTGCCATGATAGACCGGTGGATTATCGTTCTCGTCCAGCACAGCGATCTCGCGACGAAGGGACACCGTGTTGGGCTCCGATCCAGCGATCCCTTCGTCTGGAAAAGTAGTGGCCAATTATTCCAACTACCCAAATAAATGTTAATACATCTTTTCCTAATTCAGCTGTAGAGAAAGAATCTAAGAGATTTTTCTTAGAAAAATATTTAGTCAGTGAAATAAACATTTTTTATCGTAATTTTTATCGCACAATCTATATAAACGAAAAGTTGCACAAAGATCCACAGTGCATAAAGAAGACTAGAACAAAAGATAAATAGAATCCTAATTGACCTTTTAATTTCTTGAAGTTTCACGTGCAACTATTGTTTTTAATAACTCTTTAAACGTCCGTAGATTTGTACAAAAATATCACGTTATGCATTACGTTTCACAATTCGTGAAAACACAGTTGCACAGTTGGATAGCTACCGTTTCATCGGCTCGTCGTCTTAGCAAATCGTGCGTGCATTCCCATCCATTGCCCTAGATATCGTCGATTACCCATTGATACTTCACCGTAACACCGTAACGGGATACCAATAAAAGCAGCATAGTTACCCGTTATGCTGATGATGACTTCGATCAGGTCTTGCGTCTCCCTGTCTAGCGGCTTTCTCAGAACGACGACGCCGCTGTCCCGATTCACGGTGAAATACTCGCCGCTGATGGAGTAGTGCAATCTCGAACCCTCAGGGTCCTCTCCTTGAAGCTTGTATACAGGTGCACCCGGCGGTGTGCCTTCTGACACGGCCAACCTGGCCATGTCGCCACCTTGCACGAAATGCGGCGCTCGGTTGATCACCTGACCCCATGACGAAGACCATGTGAAGAGCGTGAGGAGCAAAATCGTCCACATCGTCACCTACCGAAACAAAATCGTCGGGAATTTGTATAGATTTTGTATTGATTCACCTTATTTCTATTCACTTCATTTGTTTATTTACTTGATCATTTATTTACTCTACTTTAGTTTGACTTAGAATATTATTTTAACGCTGAGAATAATAGAAAAAACGTTTCTCTACATTAATAACAGCTATATTCGACGTTGATGTAGTTGCTACTTATGGTAAGGTTAGGATTGTTATTGTTTCATAATCTTATATAACAATAATATATATACATATCTATATGTGTATAATAATATTGTATTTTACGAATAAATTCAATAATTACCACTTATAAATTTCAAGAACCCAAATCCCTTTGATATATAGTGACTGCAATACAACGAATACTTTTCAAACGTTCACAAGCATGTTTTTTTTTGTAAATAGCAAGAAATATTAAACGTCTTGAATATTTCTTGCTGTTTTGTAGCCAGCAGTGCATAAAACTGTTGCGTTCGGTTCAAGATTGTACACATTCTTCTCCATTCAAGCGTTCATTGCAGTACATTCTTTGACAGATCGACTGTCCCCGATTAAAAATTCTACTTCTGTTTACCGATGCGCGCACACCGGCGTTAGCAGTCATTAGCATCGACAGCTACAACGTTGAACGAGTATTACATCAGTCGAAACTCAAAATGGAAGCGCGCATGCAACAAGCACCAGTACAGTGAACCCAGCGTAACTTTCATTAGGGCAAATTGGAGCAACGTAATTAAGAAAAAGTTTTATTTATAAAAGTACGCTCTCTCTTGCGTGACAAACGAACACTTCCTATACTATGGCTCGTCACGATTCCGTTCACTTCCGGTCATCGAAACCGGCGTATCTTGAACAAGAGTTGTACTACTTCGAGGTGCATCGGGCGATAGAACGACTAGCTTCGCCATTATAACAACGTAACACGTGCGATTATTGACTGGGAACGAAATAACCTTTAGCAGCTCGCATATTACGATCATATAAAAAATTACAATGAAGAATAGTCGGTTGTGTAACGAGGAATATCTGTGTTTCCTTTCTTGAAGACTTCCTAAATGAGATTTTACATGTAAAAATCGCTATAAACACTACAAAACTATGAAATATTTTCTTCGTAGATTTATGAGAAAAGAGTCCCATTTATAAAATGTACGATCTTGAATCAAGGAATTAGAAAAAATTTGGAAATATATATTTTAGTATCTGTAATATGCGATGTATTCTTAGATATTTTTCAAAAGATATTTTTTCTCATTAGTTTATCGCACGCTTCATTGACTATTAATTCAGTTCAAGGACACCCTTGATCCTAGTGTTAAATATAACCGCGATTAAAAATAACACATAACGAATGGCGAAAGTTTATGCAGCGTTAACCGCAGCCTTGGTCTCGAAGCATCGAAAAACTAGAGGAGAATGTACAGTAGGGCCTCGATTCACAGAGTCGCTATTTATCGCGATTTGGATTCTCCAGAGTTTGGTTAAACTGGAACATAATAATCCGGATTCTTAAGTCGTACCTAATTTTACAAATATATTGAACTGTAACATAAATGCATTCGGTTACATTCAACGTTAATTTTGTATAATTAATTTCATGAAGCTTTGAAAGAACAATGCTAAATTTAAATTAATCATAAATGGCCTTTTGTTCGCCACAATTATGCGTATTTGCAATAAGTCATAATTCAACTGTTAAAACTAAAACATGTTCATTGTTACACTCGAACTTATTTATATTGCCACCTGATACTCTGACAAATGTTCAAACTTTCATTTACCTCAATTGTTAACACTAATCGTACCGCGAACCGGTCAAATAACAATTAACAATTCGATTAAAATTGAATTAAAAATATTGCATTTTCTTTCGTTAATTTAACTTTGTATCAATTCCTATATTGTCTGATTGACTGATTAACACTTTTTCTATTGTTTCTTTTGTTTCTGCTTCCACTAAGAAATATCTATCAGCTAACTCGTTTACCTTTCTTTTATAGCCAGTTATATGATTACAATGGAAATAAGCATATACAAAGTCACGGTACGATTAGTCTAATTATTGATCATTATCAATAATTGCATTATGAAGCTAATACAATAATCCACGTTCTACTATACAAGGCAGTATGAACGTTCAAGAGGCTTATAATAACCCAACTGCACGTTTCTACAAGATCAACCTGCATGTTCGATGGAAAACGTTACGCGGAGACCGCAGACGAGTGGGCCGGTAGGAAACAGCTAAACTCTTTTGCGGAAGATGCGAACGGTGTATCAAAGCCACCACTGGCACCACCCATATAAAACGACATCGTCGAGCCGCGTTCTTTTTCCCGGCGTTGAAAGAAAAACGTGGCTCGAGGCAACTGGTGGTGAACCGCCACGTTGCGGCGTCTGAATGACTTCCACCGGACGAGTGCGGTCAGTGAAAAGCCGTTAGAAATCAGATTCCATTTCTGGAGTTCGCGGAACTCCACTCGCGATCCGTAAATTGAATTGTCCTGTTACGCGCCCCGTCCCTCCATTTATCCACGCCTCCTCTCTGCCAAACGCGCTTTTCCAACGACGCCGCCACGCGAAAAGAAAGTTGGCGCTGCGTCAACTTGTCCGACTCGGGCTGTTCGTAAATACATTAACAAATGGAAAGCAATAATTTATTTTTATAGAAAGTTGAGGAGATATTATTTGGAAAGCTACTTTTGGGGGCGACATACTTATCGGTTAATGAAACGAAGATTGCCTCGAACAGATATTAATGAACTTTCGGATTAATAAAATTGTTCGTGAAGGTAATTGTTTCGTGCTGATAGTCTTTAGAAATTAATGTTCGAGAGGTGTGATGGAAAGTACAATGCAATAATATACTGATTTTACTTCGATGCGAATGCGTGGAAAAGGATTAAAGAATGTAGGGAGTGTTTCTGATTTTTGTTGATTCGAATCAAAAACTGGGAACCGGTTGCACCACGAATCGTTTCACCATCGCGTGTTTCAAAATGTTTGCGCTCCGTGAAAATTTATTCTTCCGTGTGTACATGCATAACCCTAATTGAATATCAGTAGCCACACTTATGTAGAATACCTACTGCACCGGCAGTCCGTTAGCGTACCGCTGATGCCTCCCTTAATAATTACCTTCCTCGAAGACAATGCCTAATAACAACCTCCGGAACACGGAAGCCAGCTAGCTGGTATGCACGAAAACATCGGGAAATTACCAAGAAATTGTCCCCTGTAATTGTCGCTTCCGTTGGATGAAATAATCGGTTCTCACGCGTCTTTTGCAGCATCGTCTATAAATCCAGACATTGGAATATTGAAATCTCATTTCGGAATTCCGTGGAAACTTCGACGAGCAAACATTTGTATAATGCAAAAAGAGAATTCTATAGAAGACAAATTTAATGATCAGTTAATACTACGTTTAGGGTCAGTTATTATAAAGTATATTCTATTGCTCTCAGAAAAATTGATACTCGTTTATCTAGATCTATATTCATGCAGTTGCATCCAATCATTTGCCAAATCAAACATTCATCAAATAATTTTTATAAAATTCAATACGCGTCACATAGACGTATTCCGTTGCACTTAATGTTAAAGAACCTTTCTTTTCACTTCGCATAATAAATCTATGTCGAACGATTCTCGATTAGCGAACGATCAGATAAAATTCTTAGCGATTTGCTCCAAATACTTAGCTGCGTTATAAGTGAGCACGGTCTGAATATCGTCGCTGTTTAATTTAAGTATAACAGGAAAATGTGATCGGTCGAACGGCTTCGATCCTATATGAACGGCTGTCCCGAGTGAGAGTTATGACGGAGGGAGAACAACGTGGAACGCGTTCCGCGTTTATCTCGGCCGATGGCTGTTGTGCAAGACGTTTGTTCGGAATCCGTCCGGAGGCTCTACTAGAAAGTTACCACTCCGGCGATCGTAACAGACCCGCGTAACGTTAATACGCGCCGCTCGTTGGCCCGTGAAATTTCACGACTTGATCTTGAAATCACTTTTAACTCTTGTTAATAATCGCGGCTACGACTCGTACAAATCACCGTTGCCACTCTGCAAAAAGTGAATTCGCTCACTGAGAGATACGTTATGCAAGATTTTCAATGGAAATTATGAAATTCGATTACACGTTCCTTCAGAAGAACAGAAATATAGAAATACTACAGTTAATGATTTTGATAATCGTACAATTTCAGCGAGTTCGATGTGCCTATTCAGCAGAAAATTTAATATTTAACATAAATTTGAACATTTGAATGTTCAGTAAAGAATGATTAAGAAAATACAATTGTTCAACCGAACGTTTCGTTTATTTATTCTTACATACTCTTAGGAAAGTGAACTACAAAGTGTGCGATGCGTAGCTTCCGTATTTACGTTCATAAGTTTTCACGAAAGAATGTTTTCGCTGTTCCGGATTGTATGCCATGGTTTCGTATTCCAAATATCAAGCGGAATTACGAAGTTTTTCGTAAATATTTATAGACACACTTCGAGCTCTATTTGCAATAATTAGGCCCGTGTACTGTTTCGGCACGAGCGTGATTCCTAGGATCGAGGTGTGCAACGCGGAAAAGCATGAAGCGTTAAAATCCATGACGGACAGCACCGTGCTTCCACCGTACGGTCTCGCACATGCACGGCTAGAAACTTTAAGCAGAAGTGGCTATTACCAGCAACCAAGTGTAAAATGATACAGCAAGATTAAGCGATGGATTCAACTGTAACCAGGAAGAAATTCGTAGATTACCCTCTTCTCTAACGCATCGTAGGTAATGAAAACCTGATACGAATCACGTTGCACAAATTACGCCTCCTGCAGCGAACAATTACGAAAAGTGGTTTTAACAACTGATTATACGAGAAGTGCATTGTTCGAAGGCAGTTATTAACCAGACGTTTACGAAAACATGGTACAAAAAGTTCTCGGCTTCGGGAATAATTGGTTTTCAACCGTGAAAATGAAAGTGTAACTTTTAATTTTCCGTTTGAAGAAAGTGCAGCTTCATTCATAGCGGAACAGAAGTGGTCGTTACTTTCAATCAATTTCAAATGACAAAATTGAGTGGTCCATTTGGGCTTAAGAAGAAGAGTAGGCATTCATTCTTTAATAAATCACATCCTCGATACGTTTCATGTCGTTCAGTTCGTTGAGTGAATTCTTTTATTAGTTCCTAAAGTACGGTTTCATGTGTTCTTAATACTAACCGTACCGGCACTTTGTATATACCTATTTCTACCGTAACCAGTCGAATAACTGGCTACAAAATAAAGGTAAACAAGTTCGATGGGAAGCTCTCTGAGGGAAGATGAAAACAAAAGGAAAGAGAACAATTGAAAAACTGATTAATCGGGTAATATAGGAATTAATATAAAGTTAAATAAACGAAAGAAAACGCAGATTATTAAATCAAATTTTAAAACCGGTCTGTTTGACCGGTTCGCGGTACGGTTAGCGATAAATTGCCCTTCCGATTCGATTTATTCACTGTTCTGTAACAAGTTTATTTAATCCAATGGTAAATATCTGGTTTGTGCGATTGTTTTATTTAG